AACCCATTGTGTGAAAGGGACAGTGGATACAGAACTGGCTGGGAGACAGAAAGCAGAGAGTGGTGAACGGATGTTTTTCTGACTGGAGGGAGGTGTGCATTGGTGTTCCCCACGGTCAGTATTGGGACCATTGCTGTTTTTGATCCATATAAGTGACCTAGACTTGGGTATAGAGAGTACAATTTCCAAGTTTGCACACGATACTAAGCTAGGAAAAGTAGTAAACAGTGAGGAGGATCGTAGCAGACTTCAAATGGACATAGACAGACTGGTAAAATGGGCAGAGCCAATGTGGAGAAATGTGAAATAATGCATTTTGGGAGGAAGAATGAGGAGAGGCGATATAAGCTGATGGTACAATCTTAAAGGGGGTGAAGGAACAGAGAGACCCGGGGGTTCATAAAAGTAAATTTTTGAACGTGGCATGTCAGGCAGATAAAGCTGTTAAAAAAGCATACGGGATACTAGGCTTTATAAATAGGGCACAGAATACAAAAGTCAGGAAGTTATGCTGAACCTCTATAAAACACTGGTTAGGCCTCAGCTGGAGACTGTGTTCAGTTCTGGGGCCCACACTTTAGGAAGGATGTCAAGGCATTGGAGAGGGTGCAAAGGAGATTTACCAGGATGGTACCAGGAATGAGGGACTTCAGTTATCAGGAGAGGCTAGAGAAGCTGGGATTATTCTCCTTGGAGCAGAGAAGGTTAAGAGGAGAATTAATAAAGTTTTCAAAATTATGAGGGGATTCAATAGGATGAACAGGAAGAAACTATTTCCACTGGCGGGTGGGCCGGTAACCCAAGGACACCATTTAAAATAGCGGTTAAAAGGAACAGAGAGGAGGTGAGAGAAATTTTTTTACACAGCGAGTTGTTCGGATCAGGAATGCATTGCCTGAAAGGGTGGTGGAAGCTGATTTAATAACAGATTTTTTGAGAGAAGTAGATGATTATTTGGGGAGAACAAGTTTGCAGGGCTATGGGGAGAGACGGGGAGAATGGGATTGATTTGGAAAAACTCTTTTCAAAGAGCCGACACAGACACGATGGGCTGAATGGCCTCCTTTTGTGCTGCATAATTCTATGATTCTGTGAGTGTGATAGTGAGCGATAGTGAGTGAGCGTGACAGTGAGTGTACTGGCAGTGAGCATGACAGTGAATGTGTGGCAGGGAGCGCGGGGGCAGGGAGCGCGGGGGCAGGGAGCGCGGGGGCAGGGAGCGCGGGGGCAGGGAGCGCGGGGGCAGGGAGCGCGGGGGCAGGGAGCGCGGGGGCAGGGAGCGCGGGGGCAGGGAGCGCGGGGGCAGGGAGCGCGGCAGTGAGTGTGGTGGCAGTGGGTGTGGTGGCAGTGGGTGTGGCGGCAGTGAGTGTGGCAGTGAGTGTGGCGGCAGTGAGTGTGGCGGCAGTGGGTGTGGCAGTGGGTGTAACAATGAGTGTGGCGGCAGTGAGTGTGGCGGCAGTGAGTGTGGCAGTGAGTGTGGTGGCAGTGGGTGTGGCGGCAGTGAGTGTGGCGGCAGTGAGTGTGGCAGTGAGTGTGGTGGCAGTGAGTTTGGCAGTGAGTGTGGCGGCAGTGAGTGTGGCGGCAGTGAGTGACAGTGAGTGTGGTGGCAGTGAGTGTGGTGGCAGTGAGTGTGGTGGCAGTGAGTGTGATGGCAGTGAGTGTAACAGTGAGTGTGGCGGCAGTGAGTGTGGCGGCAGTGAGTGTGGCAGTGAGTGTAACAGTGAGTGTGGCGGCAGTGAGTGTGGCGGCAGTGAGTGTGGCGGCAGTGAGTGACAGTGAGTGTGGCGGCAGTGAGTGACAGTGAGTGTGGCGGCAGTGGGTGTGGCAGTGGGTGTGGTGGCAGTGAGTGTGGCAGTGAGTGTGGTGGCAGTGAGTGTGGCAGTGAGTGTGGCGGCAGTGAGTGTGGTGGCAGTGAGTGTAACAGTGAGTGTGGCGGCAGTGATTGTGGCGGCAGTGAGTGACAGTGAGTGTGGCGGCAGTGAGTGACAGTGAGTGTGGCGGCAGTGGGTGTGGTGGCAGTGGGTGTGGTGGCAGTGAGTGTGGTGGCAGTGAGTGTGGCGGCAGTGAGTGTGGCGGCAGTGAGTGTGGCGGCAGTGAGTGTGGCGGCAGTGAGTGTGGCGGCAGTGAGTGTGGCGGCAGTGAGTGTGGTGACAGTGGGTGTGGTGACAGTGGGTGTGGTGACAGTGAGTGTGGCGGCAGTGAGTGTGGCGGCAGTGAGTGTGGCGGCAGTGAGTGTGGTGACAGTGGGTGTGGTGACAGTGGGTGTGGTGACAGTGAGTGTGGCGGCAGTGAGTGTGGCGGCAGTGAGTGTGGCGGCAGTGAGTGTGGCAGTGAGTGTGGCGGCAGTGAGTGTGGTGGCAGTGAGTGTAACAGTGAGTGTGGCGGCAGTGGTGTGGCGGCAGTGAGTGACAGTGAGTGTGGCGGCAGTGGGTGTGGTGGCAGTGGGTGTGGTGGCAGTGAGTGTGGTGGCAGTGAGTGTGGCGGCAGTGAGTGTGGCGGCAGTGAGTGTGGCGGCAGTGAGTGTGGCGGCCAGTGGGTGTGGTGACAGTGGGTGTGGGACAGTGAGTGTGGCGGCAGTGAGTGTGGCGGCAGTGAGTGTGGCGGCAGTGAGTGTGGTGACAGTGGGTGTGGTGACAGTGGGTGTGGTGACAGTGAGTGTGGCGGCAGTGAGTGTGGCGGCAGTGAGTGTGGCGGCAGTGAGTGTGGCAGTGAGTGTGGCGGCAGTGAGTGACAGTGAGTGTGGTGGCAGTGAGTGTGGTGGCAGTGAGTGTGAGTGGGTGTGGCAGTGAGTGTGGTGACAGTGGGTGTGGCGGCAGTGAGTGTGGCGGCAGTGAGTGCGGCAGTGAGTGCGGCAGTGGGTGTGGTGACAGTGAGTGTGGCGGCAGGAGTGTGGCGGCAGTGAGTGTGGCGGCAGTGAGTGTGGCAGTGAGTGTGGTGGCAGTGAGTTTGGCAGTGAGTGTGGCGGCAGTGAGTGTGGCGGCAGTGAGTGACAGTGAGTGTGGTGGCAGTGAGTGTGGTGGCAGTGAGTGTGATGGCAGTGAGTGTAACAGTGAGTGTGGCGGCAGTGAGTGTGGCGGCAGTGAGTGTGGCGGCAGTGAGTGACAGTGAGTGTGGCGGCAGTGAGTGACAGTGAGTGTGGCGGCAGTGGGTGTGGCGGCAGTGGGTGTGGCGGCAGTGAGTGTGGCAGTGAGTGTGGCAGTGAGTGTGGTGGCAGTGGGTGTGGCAGTGGGTGTGGCAGTGAGTGTGAGTGGGTGTGGCAGTGAGTGTGGTGACAGTGGGTGTGGCAGTGGGTGTGGCGGCAGTGAGTGCGGCAGTGAGTGCGACAGTGGGTGTGGTGACAGTGGGTGTGGCAGTGGGTGTGGTGGCAGTGAGTGTGACAGTGAGTGTGGCAGTGAGTGTGGCAGTGAGTGCGGCAGTGAGTGTGGCAGTGAGTGTGGCAGTGAGTGTGACAGTGGGTGTGGTGACAGTGGGTGTGGCAGTTGGTGTGGCAGTGGGTGTGGTGACAGTGAGTGTGGCAGTGGGTGTGGCAGTGAGTGTGGTGGCAGTGAGTGTGAGTGAGTGTGGCAGTGGGTGTGGCAGTGGGTGTGAGTGAGTGCGGCAGTGAGTGTGACAGTGGGTGTGGTGGCAGTGAGTGTGACAGTGAGTGTGGCAGTGAGTGTGAGTGAGTGTGGCAGTGGGTGTGGCAGTGAGTGTGAGTGGGTGTGGCAGTGAGTGTGAGTGAGTGTGGCAGTGGGTGTGGCAGTGAGTGTGAGTGAGTGTGGCAGTGGGTGTGGCAGTGGGTGTGAGTGAGTGTGGCAGTGGGTGTGAGTGAGTGTGGCAGTGGGTGTGGCAGTGGGTGTGGCAGTGAGTGTGGCAGTGGGTGTGGCAGTGAGTGTGAGTGAGTGTGACAGTGAGTGTGACAGTGGGTGTGGCAGTGAGTGTGACAGTGAGTGTGGCAGTGAGTGTGAGTGAGTGTGGCAGTGGGTGTGGCAGTGAGTGTGAGTGAGTGTGGCAGTGGGTGTGGCAGTGAGTGTGAGTGAGTGTGGCAGTGGGTGTGAGTGGGTGTGGCAGTGAGTGTGGCAGTGGGTGTGGCAGTGAGTGTTAGTGAGTGTGGCAGTCGGTGTGGCAGTCAGTGTGACAGTGAGTGTGGCAGTGAGTGTGGCAGTGGGTGTGGCAGTGAGTGTGAGTGAGTGTGGCAGTGGGTGAGAGTGAGTGTGGCAGTGGGTGAGAGTGAGTGTGGCAGTGGGTGTGGCAGTGAGTGTGGCAGTGGGTGTGGCAGTGAGTGTGAGTGAGTGTGGCAGTGAGTGTGAGTGAGTGTGGCAGTGGGTGTGAGTGGGTGTGGCAGTGGGTGTGGCAGTGGGTGTGAGTGAGTGTGAGTGGGTGTGGCAGTGGGTGTGGCAGTGGGTGTGAGTGAGTGTGGCAGTGGGTGTGGCAGTGAGTGTGAGTGAGTGTGGCAGTGGGTGTGGCAGTGAGTGTGAGTGAGTGTGGCAGTGGGTGTGAGTGAGTGTGGCAGTGGGTGTGAGTGAGTGTGGCAGTGGGTGTGAGTGAGTGTGGCAGTGGGTGTGAGTGAGTGTGGCAGTGGGTGTGGCAGTGAGTGTGGCAGTGGGTGTGAGTGAGTGTGGCAGTGGGTGTGAGTGAGTGTGGCAGTGGGTGTGAGTGAGTGTGGCAGTGGGTGTGAGTGAGTGTGGCAGTGGGTGTGAGTGAGTGTGGCAGTGAGTGTGAGTGAGTGTGGCAGTGGGTGTGAGTGAGTGTGGCAGTGGGTGTGAGTGAGTGTGGCAGTGGGTGTGAGTGAGTGTGGCAGTGGGTGTGAGTGAGTGTGGCAGTGAGTGTGAGTGAGTGTGGCAGTGGGTGTGAGTGAGTGTGGCAGTGGGTGTGAGTGAGTGTGGCAGTGGGTGTGAGTGAGTGTGGCAGTGGGTGTGAGTGAGTGTGGCAGTGGGTGTGAGTGAGTGTGGCAGTGGGTGTGAGTGAGTGTGGCAGTGGGTGTGAGTGAGTGTGGCAGTGGGTGTGACAGACTGACTGACCTGTGGTGAGGGCTGTGGCCGCGGAGCTGCACAGAGGCCTTTGTTGCCGGTTTCCGGGCGGTTTCCGTGGAGACGCCGCAGGACAGCGACGTCCCGGAGCTGCACACGGACACAGGCGGAGGCCGCGCGGCTCAGCGCCATTTCACCGTCACCGTCACTGTCTGCTCTGCCGCGTCACGGACTCGCCGCACTGCGCATGCTCCACCCCCACTCCGCCCCCGCGGGGGCCGCCGGGACCAGTGGGGCAGCTCCGCCCCCGCACCAAACCGGCGCCAAATTCAAAATTCATTGCGAGTAATCGAGCCTCGAAACTGCTCAGTATCACTGCGCCAAACTGTAATAGTCACACACGCAGACTGTCAGTGCCACCCACAGAAACTGTCAGTCACACACACACACACATAGAGACTCAGTGACACATAGAATGTCTGACAAATAGACACACAATCAATGACACAAACACACAGACAGACTGTCAGTGACACACAGAGACTGTCAGCGACACACACACAGACTGTCAGTGCCATACGCAAAGAGGCACACCTACACATTCACACACTCAGAGACACAGAGAGACACACACAGACACACTCAGATACAGTCTTGAGACCGGCCTTGAAGGAGGCAAGGGAGGAAGCGAGGCAAAGGGACTGTGGGATGGAGTTCCAGAGTGTGGGCGCAGAGAGGCTGAATGCTTGGCCACCAATGGTAGGGCGGGTCGGGTGGGAGACATGGAGCAGGCCAGAGCCCGCTGAACAGAGGGAGCGGGCAGGCTCATTGGGAGTTAGCAGGACAGAGAAGTGGATGGCCTTGAAACTGAGGACGAGGATCTTGAATTTGAACCTCTGGGGGATGGGGAGCCAGTGGAGTCGGGAGAGGGTGGGAGTGATGGGGTAATGGAGCCTGGTGCGCAAGAGTACACAAGCTGCAGAGTTTTGGATGATTTGCTGCTTGTGAAGGGAAGAGTTGGGAAGGCCGATGAGGAGGAACATCGCCAGACTATGGCATTACCTCACCCCTCACGCTGCTGAAACCCTAGTTCATGCCTTTGTCACCTCAAGGCTGGACTATGGGAACTCTCTCCTCGCCGGCCTTCCCGCCACCTCCCTCCACAAGCTGCAGGTCATTCAGAACTCTGCAGCTCGTGTACTGTCCCGCACCAGGCTTCGCGACCACATCACTCCCACCCTCGCTCGCCTCCACTGGCTCCCCATCCCCCAGAGGATCGAATTCAAGATCCTCATCCTCACCTACAAGGCCATTCACGGCCTCGCTCCCTCCTACCTCTCCAACCTACTATCCCCCTACCTACCTGTCCGTACCCTCCGTTCCTCTGGCTCCGGTCTGCTCCACGTCCCCCGCCCCAACCGCCCTACCATCGGTGGTCGGGCCTTCAGCCTCTCAGCCCCGAGGCTCTGGAACTCTATCCCCCAGTGCCTTCGCCGCCTCCTCCCTTTCCTCCTTCAAGGCCGGTCTCAAGACCTTTCTCTTTGACCGTGCCTTCAGCTCCCCTCTCGACTCTCTTCCCCCTCCTCGCTCCCTCCCTCCCCTCACCCTGACCATTTCCCCCCTCCTCGCTCCCTCCCTTCCCTCCCCTCACCCTGACCATTTCCCCCCTCCTCGCTCCCTCCCTTCCCTCACCCTGACCATTTCCTCCCTGCTCGGGTCATGACCCAACTGTGCAGCGCCTTGGGACGTCCTCCTGACGTGAAAGGCGCTTTATAAATGGAATCTTGTTGTTGTTGTTGAGGAAATTTCCTTAATCGAGCCTTGATGTGATGAAGGTGTGGGTGAGGGTTTCGGCAGCCTGAGGGGTGAGGTGGTGGCGAAGTCTGGCAATGTTGAGGAGGTGGTGGTAGGCAGTGCCGGTCATGGCGCAGATGTGGGGTAGAAAGGACAATTCAGGGTCAAACAAGACACCCAGGTTCCTGACTGGCTTAGTGAGGTTGAGTGTGCAGCCATGGATGCTGATGCTGCCAGCACCCGAGGTGCGGAGACGCTGGCGCAAGCCAAGCGGGAGGGCAGCACGGAAACCCGATTTGAGGGGTTCATGGAGGGAGTGGCAGGAGAGTGAAGCTCAGAGGCAAAGGCTCTCTCAAGGACCTTGGACAAAAAAGGGAGATTGGAGATGGGCCGGTAGCTGGATAGCTGTGATAGGTCAAGGGAAGGTTTCGTCAAGGTGGGGGTGATAGTGGCTGTTTTGAGTGGAGTAGGAACAGTGCCAGAAGACAGGGAGGGGTTGATGCTGTCGGCGAGTAGTGGGGCAAGGAGGTGGAGCTAGGATTTAAGGAGAGGGGTGGGGATGGGATCCAGGGAGCAGGTGGTGGGCTTCATGAAGAATATGGTGGTGATGATAGAGGAGGGGTGACAGGTTCAAAGGTGTGGAAGGAGGGATGGATAATGGTCAGAGTGTGGGGGAGTGGTAGGGAGGGGGGGGGAAATTGGGAGGGCAGTGGAGCTGAGTGGATTTCCTCGATTTTGGACTCGAAGTCCAGCATTTCCTCGCAATGAGTCGAAGGAATCTGCGTGGTGGGGAGGGCGGAGGAGCTGGTTGATGGTGGAGAACAGGAGCCTGGGGTTGCCCTTCGCCTCCAGGATTAACCTGGAGTAGAAGGACGATTTGGCCGAGGCGAGAGAGGAGTGGTAGGTTTTGATGCGGTCCAGCCAGATGTGCCGGTGGACTGTTAGGCCGGATTTGAGCCAAATGCGTCCGGCAGATTGCACCTGGCCCTTGAGCGAGCAGAGGTGGCTGGTGGACCAGGGTGAGCATCGGGAATAGGAGGCAGTTCGGGAGGTGAGGAGGGAAAGGGCGTCGAATGTGTTGGAGAGGGTGCTGTGAAGGAGAGTAAACGCAGAGGATGGGTTGGTGCGGGAGGTGGGCCAGAGGGCGAGGAGTTCAGAGGACTCCAGGGCAGCGGAGAGGGATTGCGGGGAGATCTTCTTCCACGGGCGGTAGGAGATGGTGGTAGGTTTGGAGACAGTGGGGAGAGGGATATAGGAGTTGAGTGAGATGAAATGGTGGTCAGAGATGGTCTTGTCGGTGATGGCGACATCCGAGACGCTGAGCCCCGGGTGATCACCAGGTCAAGCGGGTGGCCGTGAACATGGATAGCAGAGTGGATGTGGAGGGAGAGGTTGAGAGAGGAGAGGAGAGAGGAGAAGTCTGAGGAGGTGGAGCAAGAGCGAGGTTGAAGTCGCCTCGGATGATGAGGCAGTCGGAGCAGAGGCAGAGGGAAGCTAGAAGCGTGGAGATGTCACAGATGAAGGTGGGGGAGGATTTGGGGAGGGCGGTAAATTAGGAGACTATTTAGTGAGAGATGGGAGGGATGGCAGAGGGTAAGGTGTTCAAAGGAGGGGAATGAGCCAGTGGAGTAGGGGGATAGGGCAAGTGACGCCCTGGATATAAGAGCCACACCACCGCCACGATGGTTGGGGCATGGTGGAAGGTGTAGCCGGGTGGTGTGACCTCAGTGAGGGGGAAGGTGTCACCTGGGGTGATCCAGGTTTCCGTGAGGGCCATAATATTAACGTTCTCATCAAGGATGGGATGAGAACATTGCCGGCCAGGGTCTTATAGCAGATGGAGCAGACGTTTTGAAGGCCAATACGGAGTGGACAGTTGGCAGGGGGGTGTGTGGGATGGGAGGGTGTAGTGAATTGTTTGGCAGGGACGGTGGGGATGCGGATGAGGGAGGAGAGATTAGCCCCGGGGTCTGGGTCCCGGGTGGCTTGCGGCAGTGGTGGGGAATGGAGTAGTCGGTGTGGCTGCTACTGGACAGTCAACGCCGAGTGCTGCGATGAGCCCGGCAGAGGATTCCCGGGCTGGAGCAGAGGGAAGCAATGGTGGTCAAGCAGAAATAGGAGATGGGGAGGGCAGAGAGAGAGCAGGACAGAGCGGGAGAGTTGCAGGCAGGGGGGGCATTTTGAGGGAGGGCCAGCTCGGGTCGGGGGCAGCAGCCAAGATGCGCACACTGGGATGAGAGGCGGCGGGTTTAATAGGACATTGTCAGGCTGCACGAGGCTATGGGAGCTAGAGGTGGAGCAGAGGGGAGAGGGCGCTCATTGTGGTTAGGGGAAGGACAGGGGAGACAGACAGACAGAGGGTGGAAGGGAGGGAGACACTGGTACAGGCTATACTATGCTGTAGCCGTGATAAGCACACACCAACTGGCAGTGAAAAGCACACACAGACTGCCCGTGACAAACACACACAGACTGCCCGTGACAAACACACAGATTGTCGGGGAAACACACACAGACTGTCGGGGAAATGCACACACAGAGTGTCGGTGACAAACACACACAGGCTGGCGGTGACAAGCACACATCGAATGGCTGTAACAAGCACATATAGACTGGCTGTGACAAGCACATAGAGACCGGCCGTGACAAGCACACACCGACTGTCGGTGACAAGCACACACCGAATGGCCGTAACAAGCACACACCGACTGGCAGTGAAAAGCACACACCGACAGGCCGTGACAAGCACACACAGTCCAGCCGTGACAAGCACACACAGTCCAGCCGTGACAAGCACACACAGTCCAGCCGTGACAAGCACACACAGACTGTCGGGGAAACACACACAGACTGTCGGCGAAACACACACACAGACTGTTGCGGAAACGCACACAGAGACTGTCGGGGAAACGCACACAGACTGTCGCGGAAACACAGACTGTTGCGGAAACACACACAGAGACTGTCGGGGAAACGCACACACAGACTATCGGTGACAAGCACACACCGACTGTTGGTGACAAGCACACACCGAATGGCCGTAACAAGCACACACAGACAAGCCGTGACAAGCGCACACAGACTGACAGTGACAAGCACGCACCGACTGTCGGTGACAAGCACACAAAGACTGTCAATGACAAGCACGCACTGACTGTCGGCGAAACACATACAGACGGCCGCGGAAACACACACAGACTGTTGTGGAAACGTACACAGAGACTGTCGGGGAAACGCACACACAGACTGTGAGTGACAAGCACACACCGACAAGCCATGACAAGCACACACCGAATGGCCGTGACAAGCACAAACAGACCGGGCGTGACAAGCACACACAGACTGACAGTGACAAGCACATACAGACAGGCCGTGACAAGCACATACAGACAGGCCGTGACAAGCACACACAGACAGGCCGTGACAAGCACACACAGACAGGCCGTGACAAGCACACACAGACAG